ACACACACACACACACACACACACATTATCACACTTCATACAACTGTAAAATGTATATGAAAATTATATGATTAACATTTAATACATTTAGTATTATATCGTTATATTATAATATAATATGTAATGCTGATCCCGTGCACTTAGTTGTCCGTTAAAAATGCCCACTCTATATGAGACTCGATGTAGATAATGCGAGCAGTATATTATGCCTACCTGCCGTGGATTGCAGAAACTGCTCGATGAGTACTTTATATAAATAATGTTTTATTTTTATTTGGATTGTGAACATGCCGATGAGCGGCTATAAGTGTAACTCATCCACCTTGATAGGAAATGTGTGAAAATTCAATTGGACGCATTCTTATACTTAATCTGCCCGATGAACCACTTCAGGCAACCAATAAACAAAAAAAATACTAATGTCCACTAAATATATTTATATTTCTCCTATAACCAACAGCAACCGTATACAAACAAATATTTCCTTAAATCTTAAGATCCCTGTTTGAGCAACTCCCCGGGTCGGTCCAATTGTGAATCTGAATCATCCAGGGCGCCACCCAAAAGTATACGAAAAATGCATTCAAATCGGTCCAGCCATTTAGGAGAAGTTCAGTAAATAATAAACTTGTTTTGTTTTGATGGATCGTGTTTGTGTTGTTATATACATTAATTATAACTGACACATTGTTATTGTTCATAAAATTAGTATGATTTTTGTTTTTGGAAAAATGTTTTCCTATGGCTTGATATAATTTAGAAATTTTAGAGTACCCTTCAGTAAGGGCTAACATTATGCTGGCATAATTCCTATCAGCGGTTTCCACAGTTGGTAAAGCTTGTTTTTCCAATTCGTTAATTTTTCTTTTAGCTCATTAATTTCTTTTAACAATATTCTTTTTTCTCTGATCGTTTTATCCTTGGGTTCGTAAAAAAAAAAATTAAAAACTACAATAATTTTTATACATTCTAAATTTAGTACTTACTAATTTTGAATTTCCGAAAAAAATGGAATAAGCATTAGCAGCCAAACTCACACATACTAAAATTAATATTATAGTAGCTTTCATGTTTATATATATATTTTTTTTATCCTTGGTATAATTATTAGAGATGTTCCGGGTACCCGGCAATTACTCGATGGCCGGGTACTCGATATTAATTATCTTCAATCTAAAAAAAAAGTAACAATATTATTTCCAGGTTCAAAGTACAGGAAAAACATTATAATAGTATATACTTACATTAATTATACAAGAATTCATTATTTTGAACTAAACACAATTCGAAGACTGGTTATGGTTATGTATTTAAATAATTGTTTAGTCTTAAACGTAACCAAGTATGGTTGTTGGCTTTTATTTGTTATTAGCCATGTTGCATATATTAAAATAATACACAACGTTTCAAACTACTAATTGACAGCGTCTTCACAGCGGAAACCCAAGCCATCAAAGAAGCATAATCATTCGCAAAGTCAACTTTCGCAAATAATATTCTAATTATCAGCGACTCCCTAAGCGCTCTTCTAGCTATCGAAGCACCATACCCTTCTAATGATATAATCTTCTAAATTCACATCATCTCCTCGACCCAAAAAGTGATTGAATTCATGTGGGGGTTCCCTCTCACACAGGCATAACAGGAAACGAAAAAACGGATTTACTGGCAAACGAGGCAATCACGTCGACCTTGTCCTTATCCATTACTACTCTTCCATACCAAGATATAAAAAGAATCATAAACTCACACACTACTCATATGTGGCAAACATCCTGGGACGAAATACCAATGTCAAACAAATTGAAATCAATTAAAAAGAAAGTTACCAAATGACATCCTTAGCCCAATATCTCTAGACGTTCCGAAATTATCAACACAAGAAGAAGAATCGGTCATACCAACCTTATCCACATGCATATCATAAAACATGAAGAAAATCCTCTCTTTAGCCAATGCAACAAACCGCTCTTTATTAAACACATAGTCCTAGATTGCCCGCTGTATGCCAACGCAAGGAACATCCTCAACCAACCTTCATCGATGGAAGAAGCACTAAGAGAAAACAATACTCACTTGGTCCATAGCGTCTTCAAATACATTGGCATCGACACCAAAATCTAATGCTGTTAAAATCTCTCAACTAACAAATGTATTGTAAATATTATATAAAACTGTAAAACTACTAACTTATAATTCGTAATTTCCCAAATTGTACTTAATTGTGTAAACGTACCGCAGGCAAAGACCTTGTTGTTGAAGCCTTATTAACAATAAATAAATAATAATGATAATAATAATGTGCAATTAAATGAATCGTATATAATCACAATTTACGTAGACAATTACAAAAAAAAAAAATAAAAAAAATTTCAATTAACATGATGATTGTATTGCTCATCTTTGACCTGCTCCATTACCCTCGAATGGCAACGGGCACAAATTTCGTACCACTCGCTTTCATTGACCGTGACTCGTGTGGATAACAGCTACTCTCATTATTCCATTCGGGTCTGAGTGTGTTTCAATGGCAGTTTACCAATTGCGCCTAAAAGTACCATTTTATATCCCAACTAGCTGCCATCAGAAACTCACTGTTGCGAAACTCGGGGGCATGTGAGACTCGGTGATGGAGACGACAATGTCGTTAAAATGACTTAAAAAGCCACTCTTGTCGACGTCATGGAAGTTAAAAACAACAATTTAGGAGGTGATGAGGATTTATGATAAGACTTTGATATCTGGTTTCGAACGCGGGAATGTTTGAAATTCCAGTTTCAGTGTTTAGAAATCTAACATCACCCATGAAAATCGGCAATTGAATAATATGGTTCCTCGTTGCATGTCCGGTGCTTTTTCGTATGTAAGAAAATGTATGTTCGAAATCCGTATTTGAGTGTCAAGCAAGTCAGCCATCATAGGTGTAATACGAAACCAAAGTGAGTAATCTGCCTTCGACGCTACCACCAATATGGTATATACTCATACTGACATCCGTAACACTGTCGAAGAACAGTTCTGTTCCATATGTGTGTCTTGTTTTATTTATGTGTTTAATTTAATATCTAACCAAGAGAGGTTTGGCTACCAAAGGCAAAACAAAAAAATTATATAGTGCAACATTTTATGGAATGAAAAAAAAACAGTATGTGGATGGTTCTTCAAAATGTTGAAAAAAAAACTGTTTGTTAAATCCACATCGTAAAGAACGGCTCCGGTCTACGAAGAGGATTGGTTTGTGTACGAACCGCACAACCGAGGGTTTTAAAAGAATACATTTTAAGGATGAAGCAGTAAGAATAAAAGGTCCAAAAGTTAAAAAAAAAAAAGAGGGTAATAAAAAAACGTAAAGCGTGCACAATTTTTCGAAAAACGACATTGATGAGTGATAAAAAAAAGCGAGATAACTCGTCGACGGCTCGGCCGCCCCGAGGAAGTTACGCGATTGGTCGCGCTAAAGAACTGGTGGCCCCGATGGGCCGGCGGGCGGTAGAAACGAAACGGCAACACTGACGTCCCCTAAACCGAGTGACGTTGGCGTTCCGATTACTTGTCATTTTATATATTAAGAAAGAAGAAGACTAACTAACTACTATTTAAGGTCACCAGCAGAAGCCATAATGAATTTATCAAAATTAATCACTTAGGGGGTTCCCTAAGTGTTATTATCGCCACTGATCTCTACTTGAAAAAGAAAATAATAAATAATATAGAGGCTTAAATAGTTTAACGTTAATAATAGACGTTTTGTTATAGGTATTCATGATAAATTGCTGCACACAAATCCATAATAAAAACTACAAACAGCTTGTAGACATAAAATGTTATGGTTACAACTCATTAGTTGTTAGGTACATTTAAGAAGAGTGTCTAGCTAACAAAACTAAAATTGTTCAAATTGATGTCACATGTTGTTTTAGTATTAGTATTAATGTGAAATGTATATGAATATGTAACTAATTTAATCTCAAATACTTATAGTGTGTATATTGAGTCGATTGAATATTTTGAATTTCATAAACTCATAAGTTATATATTATAGTGTTTGTGTTTTGAACTGGTGACCATGGTTGATTCGTATTCGTATTACTATCTATTTTCTAAACAATATAGGTACTGGAAATATTTGAAACTTTTAGATTTATATAATCGAATAGCTTGCAGGTTCTATCAGATGAGTATTTTAAAAATAGCTATAATTCACAACTAAATCTGCCATTTATTCTTATTAATTAAAGCTTAATATTACGGTGTTTTACAACAACAATATTATATATCAATAAAAACAAAATACTACACTATATAATACTACTTATATAGTTATATCTATATAAGGAACCTAAGCTCCATAGAAGTGAATATTTTTAATACTTTAAAAATTTGCTTCTGAAAAACAATGTCAATCATCGCACTAATTGATTAATTACTTCAAATCTAAATACATTTAAGTAACGTAATCATAATTATGAATTCATTCTGATCTGCATTAGGATAACTTGTGTATTATATTTATATAATATGATTGCTATAAAACAGAATTTGAGTTAAAATCATTTTTTTTCTTTTGATGCCTCTTGAGTTGTTTATATAAAAGTATAAATTAGCCTTCCTCCACTTATACATAATGTTGGACCATCGCGGTATAAACAATAGTTATATTATTTCTTTGTTATAAAAATATGATCAGAATTTTTACCAATAACAAAAAGTAAAATACATACTTACCCAATGCTATAACCATAGTTCATAAAATGTTCGTTATATACCTATATATTTTGCACCTATACTCACCTAATACATTTTGTAATTTATTTTAGATGTTAGTAAGTGTAAAACCACGGATAAAATTACATAAATTTAATTATATCAGTATTTATTTCTTTATTTTTAATATGCAATTGTATTTATCTTAACATTTTAATTTTATATGTTCGAATATAAATTAAGTGTACATATTTTTAAGGTTTTTTACAATATATTCTACAACATAGTATAACATATTATAATTTTGGAATTAACTTGATTTTTTTTCTGTAGCCAAAAAATGAAATTTCCATAACCATAATACCGATACATCCATCATTACCACAGAACTTTTGAATTACTTTCCATTGGTAATCGGTTGCTTGAGGATACAACAGCGTTGTTATGCCAAGATCAATAGTTCCATTTTTCATTTGGTAATGACCCTAAATGTAAAAAGTTATTCAAAATAACAACATGTCTTTAAAAATAATTTAAAAAACATTTTACTAGTGTTTAATACATAAAACCTATTTAAATAGGCCTATACAATATATAAAATATAATTTATAGCCTAACCTAACCTAACCTGTATATATTTAATTTGATGATTACTAATATATCTAATTAAAAGCGTTTCATTACATAGATCATATATGTATACAGACATACAGTGTTGGGTAAGTTACTTTTTAAAAGTAATTAAGTTACGTTACAAGTTGCAAAATAAAATAGCTAACTAGATTACTTGTTAGTTACTCAAGTACAAAAGTAATGCATAACGTTACATTTTTACTCGAAAGTAACTAGGTAGTTATAATGGCGTTAGTCTTATGTTAAACGAATGATATTATAGGTTATTATGCACTGTTGGCAAAAGCTCCGGCCTGCCAATAGTTATTAGCGCCAATCCTTACGACTGTCTGTATGTCGATGTACATATTTTATCAGGTAATCTAAAAATAAATAAGGTAATAACTATAAGAGTTGCTGCCTGTATAGGCTGCAATCGATATTTATAATCAGTTAAATTGAAAATAATATTAACACAAAATCGTTTATTTATATAATTGTATTAGATTTCACTGGAAAAATGTTGTGATTACATAAATACCTACTTAAATTATTAGCATAATTACATTTTCTGATGCGGATTCGAAGGGAAGAACTGCCCCGTGAAGTAGCACCACGATATATCCCCCTCTCAAAAAAAAAAAGTTCAATTTATTATGTAACGCGTTCTTCTGCTAAGTTATTGCTAAATAATTAACGTGGTTACTCTTGCGTTATCCAAAAATAATGATAACAAAGTTACATTACTGAAAAATGTAACTTCGTTACAGTAACGAATAACGCTCAGCGGCCGCGGCGTACTAAATCGTGTTTAGTATTTATTATATTATTGTATTTTTCATTTTTGCAAATAAAGTAGAAAACAAATCAGTTAAAAGGTTATTAATAGCCTGTTATTACGCCACTGAAACCGCCATGTCGTAGCTAGTGCGGCGAGTTCTTGCGATTTCTGTCCGGTTCCTATTCTAGGTACTGTGCCTGTATGCGAGCAATACTAGATCTAGATGCTCCAGCAGTTGTGTTACTTATTAGTCATTACTCATTACTCATTAGTCAGTTATTACTTATTAGTTATTTATTACTTATTACTGCACAGTTGTAACATTGTAATATAAAAACAAGATATTTTTAGACTAGAACTAAAATACCAAAATCAATTTATTGTATATTATGTTATTATGGAATGGTCTAATATATTCCACGTAATTAGGCTATCGGAATTCTCATTTGTTTGGAAAAACGACATTCGTATTCGTAGGCTAAACTCGAGCGGATTGTAACAGACAATATTATTGTTCAACGTTGTGTAATGTATAATTTGATCTTCATTCTTCGGTGTTAAACTGTTGGTTTTAATTTGAATTTATTAAATTTGAAATGAAACGTACAGTACATTCTTTTTCTAAGCCACAACAAAAGAAGACGAATATTCATGTGGAAAATGAAGATGTAAGTAAAAGAAAGTCGATAGTATTAAATTTATAGTAAGATGGTAATTATTAATAAGTTTAATCTCAAAGAATATTTTTGGAAGGTAAATTAAAAATTGAAATTTATTTCAGATTTAAATAATAATTAATGTTACTGTCATTAATTAAAAATAATGAATAATTGGTATTCAGTGTAGAATTTAATATATATAATATATGGTGTGTAAAGTGTAAACTGAAGAGTATTTAGTGATCAAGTTTTGAAAACCTGAAGGGTTGTGTGGGGGGCAAAGCCCCCACTTTTATGTGTGGCATTCAATGGCTCATCCCCTCCTTATAACAATTCTTAAATACAGCGCTGGTAACGCACGTTAAGTTATTATCCAACACTGCATATATATATGAATATATATAGATTTTAGATACAAGCAATTTTAATAGACAATATCCATAGAGTAGTAGATTAGTTAGAGAAGTACATTTTCTAGCATGTACAGGACGGGCCACGGAAATAGGGCTAAAAAATAAAAATATTGTGAAGTCTGTTCATATTTAGACCTAAACCTGCGTATTACATAAAAATGTACAACAACTATGATTATATTTTCTTGGATTACAGGACTAACTGAATGTCTGTAAACTAGTTAAAAATAAAGAATAATTGAAAAAAATAAATTTTAAGTACGACAACACCATTGAATTTTCAAGTAAACCAAAGTAAAAAAATATCTAAATAATTTCATTGTGCTTACCTTATCAAATGGACAAATCACAGGTGGATCAAACGAACCGTACCAACGGGACCATATTTGATTCTTGTCCTTTAATTTAGTGCAGATATCTGTTAATTTCCAAGTTTGGAAGTATTCACAATTAATGCCATCTGGGTCACAACGATTAAATACCGCTATAACCTTAAAAATTTAAATATGTTTATTTAATGTTCACATCAAATGTATACAATTGATATTAATATGAAAAGCTAAACAAGTATAAGCATATTAATGTTAAAATAATCGATTTATACGTAATTGCATGACCGACTAATTTGGTGTTATTTTAATTTTTATTACGCACCACCCAGTTAAGTACTACGGTTGCTTAATTTATGATTGTTTTACTTACTGTATCAATGGATACATTCGTAGGTAGTGTAAAATTTCCATTTATGTATTGTGTTTCTTTGTATTGATCGACGGTAAAATGCCCAAATTGGCTCGGTTGTACAAAAACTTTCTTAAACCGTACGGTATACGATAACATTGGATTGTACTGAAAATCACAGTAAAATAATTTTTGGGATTATGTAATTCAATTCTACATTAAAATAATAGTTTTTAACTGTTATTCAAAACACCTTCTAAAAATTGATATAATTGGTAACTTATTAACATAAATATGTTAACAGGCTGGTTGCAAGATTTTGTTTCTGATTGATTTTTTGTAAGGTTTTCGTCCTAATAGTTACTCATTATCTAATAATAATTTGTACGAAATGTATAAAATTTAATTACAAATAAAATGAAGTGTGCTTATAGCTTGTTTTAGAAATATTTGCCTGAAGGTAAAAATATTTCAGAAACTATGGATTTTAATGCTAAATACCAGCTTAGATAGCGTTCAGAGATACAAACAATTTAATACAACAAACACTATGTTTTAGTTGACTTTATTTTTTGATTCTTTGTAGTCAAGTAAAAAATGTCCTTATAACTCGAACCACGGTACTTGATATTTTTCAAATTACTAATTACGTTGAATACGCAAATACATATTTATGATTCATACATTTTCCTTGAAGTTGAAAATGTCAAGTAGAATTCTATGTTTCTTCCCGTGAAAATTTTTGTTGGTAACATAGGTACCTACGTTTATATTATAATCACATCAATTACAATCCCAATAATATGTTCTGTATTTCTTTTTTTTGTTAAGTATATTTTTTTAGATTCTCGGCGTTAGAGGGTGGCTCTTAGAATAGAAATTCATGTAGGTATGTCATATCGAATACAGTTGTCATTTTGGGAGTCAAAAATAAAAATAAATGTGGTACAAAACGTTATTTAGTAGGACGTAAATATCACGAAGAAAATCTTACTAAAAATCGGTCATAAACAAAAGATTGTATCCAGCCCATTAAGCGAAACTGACACTAACCAAAATATTTACAAATTATTAATTTTTTGATAACATTTTTTTTTTTCGTAATTCTGTTTTTTTTTGTTTATAAATGTTTTATTCAATCTGTTACAAAAAGAACAATAAGAACAATTGATGAAATTGGAAAGTAGAAGAAAAATAAAAATAAAAATAAAAATAAAATAACAATCTAGATATAAGTATATTACAGAGCGTAGGAGCCTCCCAGTGGAGGTACTACATTAACAGAAATAAAAAAGACATGAGTATTAAAATTTAATTATTCAGTAAGCTTCTACACCATTTGCGTTTTAGGAATCTTTTGTAGTGTGTTTAAGCCACGTCTGCTACAAAGGATACAGAAAGATCGTGATGGAGTGTGTGATTGGAAACGTAGTATGGTGCTTTAGTGATTTGTCTTAGAGTTTTGGATTGATAGGTTTGTATTCTATTGATGTTGGTAGGTTTTGCTCGCCGCAACACGACTGCGCAATTTTTCCTTTTTTGACCCGGTTAATTACACCACGATTGCGCAAAAAATTTGGAACACGATTGCGCCCCGCTCCCTTTTTACCTGTTAAAATCACAACACCATTGCACACCAAATGATATGTGTATATACTATATACTATGTTTAATAATTTATATACAACATAAAATAATGTATACATTCAATACATTTTCATATACACGCACTTGAACCATATAACTAGTTAGGTTAGGTCTATGACTTAAACTTATTTCCTATTAATAATATAATATCAACAATCAAATAATATTGTGTATATTGACTTGAATATAATTTATAATACTAAATATTTTCGTTTGAAAAAGTGCATTTTGTGAATTTATAATTTGAGTGCATGTAATATGTATAATATGCAAGTTATAAAAAGTATGTATTGTATGTATATTGTATGCATTATTTTATGTTGTATATAAATTATTATTTATAGTATATACACATATACACTGCACATAGGGCAGTGTGATGGGTCCATTGCTGTTTATTTTATACATAAATTCTATATGTGATATGAAAATTGATGGTCAAATAGTAAAATACGCAGATGACACGTGCCTACTGTTTTCAGGTGATACGTGGGATGAAGTTCGCGTAAAAGCTATACAAGATTTTAAAAAAGTAATAAACTACTTAAATCACAGAAAACTAACAATCAATTACAATAAAACAAATTTTATAAATTTTTCCATTAATAAGGATGATAAAAGTTTTGATAACTTAGAATTTAATATTTATGATAATTTGGATTCTTGTAATGTTCCAATATATCAAAAAATAGCTAGAGTTTCGAGTATTAGGTATTTAGGTTTGACATTTGATAAAAATATGAAATGGAACTTACATGTAAACAATATTGTGATGCGTATGCGTCTATTATCGTTTAGCTTTTATAAAATACGGTCATTTTTACCAATACAAACTATGCGCATAATTTATCTAGCACTATTTCAGGCAATTTTTCAATATGGTTTATTGGTCTGGGGGGGTCTGAATCAAAATGCGTCTAGACCACTGCAACTTCTACAAAAAAAAATTGTTAGAATATGTTTAAGTAGAAATACGTTAATTGGTTCAACTAAAGAAAATTTTAACTTATTAGATGTATTACCATTTGAGTCTGTATATAAAAAAATAATTATTATATTCATAATAAAAAATATTGAATCCTATCTGGACATGAACAAAGACAATTTTAAAAGAGAAAATAGAGCATTTGATGCTAGATTGGATTATTCAAAAAAAACGTTTGGTCAAAAATTCATAGACTATCTAGGTCCAAAAAACTATAATCAAATGCCAGTCAATATAAAAAAGGAAATATTCTATTCAAAGGGGAATACTATAACCACAGGTATGAAAAAAAAAATTCAGAATTGGTTATTTTCAATACTTGTATAAATAATAAATAATAAAGAAAGATTATATAACTGTAGAATTTTATTTTTAGCTATAAGTATTCTATTTGTATGTTTTGTTTTCTCAATTATTTATATGTAAATGTTTATAGTATAATATTATTTAACTCTCTACCATCACCACAAGCATGTGCTTAAAGATGGTAGATAATTTCTTTTGTTTTAACATTATAATGTTGGTAACAATAAAAAAAAAAAAAAAATCATTTGGTGCGCAATGGTGTTGTGATCTTAATAGGTAAAAAGGGATCGGGGCGCAATCGTGTTCCAAATTTTTTGCTCAATCGTGGTGTAATTAGTCGGGTCAAAAAAGGAAAATTTGCGCAATCGTGTTGTAGCCGTTTTGCTGATCCCCAAAGCTGTATACCATAGACCCATATTGGTTTAAGTAGCATTTTGTAAATAAGGAGCTTGTTATTCAGATGAATATGTTTGGAGGTCAGTAGGTGTCTTAGTTGGCGGCTACGATCATTGAGCGTTAACCGTTTGGAGCCTATATGAGGAGCCCATGTGAGCCGGCGGTCTAGGGTTAGTCCAAGATATTTGACGTTTTGAGAGTAGGGTAAAGATTGATTATTGAGGAATAGTTGTGGACATTCTCTGGGGCGTAGTGTAAAGGTAGAGTGGAGCGATTTTGTTTGGTTTAATTTTAGGCCCCATTCTGTTTTGTAATTCTGTGAATAAATAAATAATTCTAGTCATTAAAATATTTTCATAATATTGTAATTAATATTTTCTAGCTACAGAATTTTCAAAATATTTAGCATAATATTTGATTCCTCTGAATCTAATAGCAATAAAAAAAAACATAGAATTATGATTTTAAAAGGTAAATGTATGTAATTTATGTTTCCCAGAAAGTACAAACCTCAAATTTATAATAATCCAAAATCTTATTAATGTCGGAGATAATACTATTTATCTGAGCAAAATAATGCATAAGCAGACTGACTATGTCAACGTAACGTCCTCCTAAAAGTACTTTGTAATATTATTACACGATTATTATACTAACCAACACCACATTTTTGATGAAATCTCCAATTAATAAAATAAAAAGTAATTTTAAAAATAACATTTTTTGTGATTATTTGTGACTATTATTAATAAAGTTACGTGTAAAATACTCATACGAAAAGAATAAAACATAGAAGATATTTGTTGACACACTACTACACTTATTAAACTGTTTATTCAGATTTTGATTTGAAAAAAATTCTATGTAATGTATTATCACGTGGATCGTTATCGTGATAATATGTTGTTGACTCACAATGCAAACTAATAATAATAATTTACAACACAAACAACAATGCAGCTTATCTAACCTTCATAAACATTGTAATAACTAAATCTAGGAATTTTTCTCGGGAAACAATGTTATTTAAAAATGTATTGTATAAATCAGTACAATTCATTTTGAACCACATCAATATTTTGTGTCAATAGCCGATCAACGTGATAATTTCCTCGTTTCAATGTAATAAGTATCCATTATGTGTGGTCAATATATGAGAATTTATATTTATTTATATGAGAATAAAATATAAATTTAACAAATTACATTTTAAAAATTAATTTTATTAATATATATTATATGATTCCAAGCACCGTTTAAATGAATTACATAGGTACCAAATAATATGAATTGTTATTATTATACACGAATAAAAAAAATATGCAATAGGTAGGTAATAGTATTATTTGGAATCATCGTGACCATCGTGGTATAAACAATAGTTATTCATTAATAATTATACCATTTATCTATACTATTATATAAAATAGCAAGGGCTTTCTACGACCGCACTAACCGAGGGTACTACCGAACCGATTTGGCTGAAATTTTTTACTGTTATACCCGACACTCTGCTGAAGGTCTTAGTACCACTTTTGTCAATAAAAAATAAATATAAAGTTATTATTAATAAAAATAAACATATAAAATGAATAAATATACCTTTTTAGTAAGAAATAGTCGCTGGCAATCACACAATCAAACTCGAAAACCACAGATGCTTTTAGGCAGGTCGGTATCGACGTGGAGTAGTAAACAATTATTAAAATTATTTAGTTTAGCAAAAAAAAAAAAAAACAATTAATTTTATCTGAATATCTATAATTAGTATTTATAACCAACAGTGTTCCATTAGTTATTGGTAAAAAATAACCAATAACTAATCGAATTTTCACAAATCGCTTGCTAAGATTGTTGAGTTATACTTATAGAAAAAGAAAGCGACTTAATTTTATATAGTAGTATAGATTTACCTAGCATGTGGTACGATGATAATAGTGTAATATAATATCCAACCTGATAATATATTGCTCGCATTATAACAAGCGAATCTCATGTATAGATTTGGCATTTTCAACGGGCAACAAAGTGCACGGGATCACCTATTATGTTATAAAAAGATAATCTGGATTTATTTTATTGTTATTCCTGTTTTCGTACAATTTCAATAAGGCTGTATGGATGGTCAACATTTTTACCAATAACAAACAGTAAAGTACACACTTATCCAGTACTATAACCACAGCTCATAAAGTGTTCGTTATATACTTATATATTTTGCACCTATGCACACCTAAAACATTTTGTAATTTATTTTAGATGTTAGTAAGTGTAAGACCTCGGATAAAATTATATAAATTGAATTATATCAGTATTTATTTCTTTATTTTTAATATGCAATTGTATTTATCTTAACATTTTAATTTTATGTGTTCGAATATAAATTAAGTGTAAATATTTTTGAGTTTTTTTACCATATTATATTCTACAACATAGTATAACATATTATAATTTTGGAATTAACTTGATTTTTTTTCTGTAGCCAAAAATTGAAACTTCTATAACCATAACACCGATACATCTATTATTACCGTATATTTTTTGAAGTACTCTCCATTGGTAATCAGTTGCTAGAGGATACAACAGCGTTGCTATGCCAAGATCAATAGTTCCATTTCTCATTTGATAATGAACCTAAATGTAAAAAGTTATTCAAAATAACAACACATCTTTAAAAATAATTTAACATAAGTTCTTAAGAATATAATTTAAAAAACATTAAACCAAGTGTTTAATACATAAAACCTACTTAAATAGGCATATACAATTTATAAAATATAAAATCTACTGTTAAATTATAGATATGTAATTTGACGATTACTGAAATATTAAACTAAAAGAGTTGCATTACATATAGGTAATATATATAGATTATAGATATAAACAATTTTAATAATCAATATCCATAGAGTAGTGAATTTTCTAGCATGTACTGGATGGGCCACGGAAATAAGGCTAAAAAATAAAAATAATTTTAAGTCTATATATATATATATATATTTCGCTCTATACTTTCGTGTAACATAAAAATGTACAACAACTACGATTATATTTTCTTGGATTACAGGACTAACTGAATGTCTGTAAACTAGTTAAAAATAAAGAATAATTGAAAAAAATAAATTTTAAGTACGACAACACCATTGAATTTTCAAGAAAACCAAAGTAAAAAAATATCTTAATAATTTCATTGTGCTTACCTTATCAAATGGACAAACCACAGGTGGATCAAACGAACCGTACCAGCGGGACCATATTTGATTCTTGTCCTTTAATTTAGTGCAGATATCTGTTAATTTCCACGTTTGAAAGTATTCGCAGTTAATGCCATCAGCGTCACAACGACAGAATAACCAGAATGGACACACGCTGAGCACTCAAAAATCTGTTCAACTTTGTGGAATATCAGTGTATCCATGTATATAATAAAAATGTAAAATTCTTTCTGTCTGGTCACACTGATAAGGGTTTGTTTACTAACTTTCGACATCAGCTGTCCATATATCTGCGATTGTTTACAAAACATCAGTTTGACTTTTGCGCTCTTATTTGAAATTAATGTTTTAATTATTTTATTAATTAAGAAATTAAATCAAATTAATCGTAATTTTTGTTTTTTAAATGTATTATTTAATTATTTATTCGTTTTAGAATTTTTTCTAGTGTTAAATTTTTAAATAGAACAATGTTATCTGAAACTAAACGTAAAAATAGGAAATTATCAATTCTAAAACATTTATAATTAATATTATTAAATTTTGTGTCATATTTTACCATTTTATACAACTTTTTAGAATTAATTGACTAAAAAAATTACTAATATGTATAAAGGTATCTACCGTATAAGTACCTACTTAATATTATACAATACACATTTTTTATTTTTGTATATATGTACCTAGGTAGTTGTAACTTGTAAATATATTATATACATGTAATTGTAATAAATTTGTTTAAACCTACAATGTATTTTGAGATTTATTTGTTCAATGCACCTATGATCTAAAATATATATTTCATGATCTACACTTACCTATGCTAGACAAAAAATGTTATGTTATTAATTTAAAATATACATTTTATAATTCAAATAAAAATTAACTAACACAGAAATTGAAAAATCAGTTATTCACTTTACAGAGTACAGACTTCATATTTTGGAACATAAACACAAAAGACACTGAGGCGAGTAAGCAAGTTGCAAACTTGCAACTTACAACTTTATTACTTATTAAGTTAGGCTAAAGCACGATTATAAAGATTCTTTATAATCGTCGTTTAAGGTAATTAGTAATTACTAATTGCCTCTGTTCAGGGAATAACAGTCGCGCTAGAAACAAAGAATAATGGGAATTATCTTTCTACCGGCAGCACTGATATTCCACCAGGTGTTGCAAATCTGTGCCCCATAAGAACCCATGTTAAACTGAAAAGGTGTCTCTTCTGGTTATTCTGTTATTCTGTGTTAGTACTATTCCACATCAAAATTCAAATGAAACCTATATAATATGATGAGATATTCAATTCATATTTGATATTTGATATTTAATGAATAATGTTATACCTAGGTGAGTACCTACCATGGTTGGTTACTTGTTTAATTTATAATTGTTTTACTTACTTTATCAGCGAAAAAATTTGGAGGTATTGTAAGATTTCCATTAATAAATTGTGTTTCTTTGAGTTGGTGGATCGTGAAATTCCCAAGGTGGCTTGGATGTGCATACACTTTTTTGTAACGTACACTGTACGTTAACATTGGATTGAACTGAAAACCACAGTAAAATTTTTTTGAAAATGTATATACTCCTTTTAGACTAAATTTGCTATTTCAAATATCTTTTCTAAATAATTGCTCAAAATCTACCAACGCTCAACACCACGATACCACGAAATAGGGCAGAGGAATATGCAGAAGAATCTATATATCTTTGCTTTATTATCACCAGGCCATCTACTCGAAGCAATAGGCAATAGCAACAAATTATAGATTAAAAAAATTAGAGTATGTAATTTCTATTCTCCAAAACCTTATAAATTTCGTTATAATTATTTTATTATTATCTGAGCAAAATATAGAAGTAGATACATTAAAATACGTCAATTGGAGTCCTCCTAAGAGTACTTTGTAATATTATTACACGATTATTATAATATACTGACCAACATCACCTTTTCAATGAAATCTCCAATGATAAAAGTAAAAATAAATTTTAATGCAGCCATTTTTTTCCAAGAGTATTTGTGAGTATACTAATGAAGTTATGTCTATAAATACACCCATAGGAAAAAATTAAAACATTGGAGGTATTAACTTTTACAATATATTACTCTTATTGAGCTGCCTGTCAAGAGTTCGATTTGCAAAAACTTCTGTGTAATGTATTATCATATGGACCGTTATCGTGCTATATATTACTGGCTCACAGCGTAAATCAACAATAATTTACAGCACAAACACGAAACAACTATGCAGTTTATCTATAACCTTCATAAAAATTTTAATAACTAAATATCGCAATTTGTTTCGGGAAACAATGTTATTTAATGTTTTTGTATAAATTATATTAATAAAAATTATTTTTAATAGTCGATCAACGTGATATATTGACGTGACGCAATTATTATAATACATCAGATTTTAGCTATCTACTCGACTTTTAAATACAGTAATAGTATAGGTATGCATTGTTATACAATTACACTATTATGCATAAAATGTATGTAAGTATCGTTGAATATAGATAGTTACTATACCTCACGGAGTATTGAGTTATGTTCATTAGTTTCAATACTCTGTGTATACTTTATCGCTATTCAAGTAACACAGTCTATAGTTAAGTTTGCTCGGTGTTTAGCTACGTACTTACCGCCTGTTTTTTTTTTTTATGTAAGGAGAATTATTGGACAATGGTGGGGGGTATATAACCCAAATCCCTTCTTGGGCTCGCCAATGCGCGGTGGCGTGGTAAATAATCATATAAAGTCTGTTCACCCCACCAGCAAGATCATTCCTCAGGGCACCGACCAGTGAGAATTTATTTCATGGATCTTTCCTATGCGTGAAGGTATATTATTATTATATTAGGTATTCAATATAATAATGATGTTTTTACCATTTTAATACATTGTGTTGCCGTCGGTTTTTAGTGGACTGTATATATTAAGTATATGTGTGTTTTTTTCATTAATATATTAAGATTTAACATTTTTGGTATAACAACATGATTTATTTTATGATGCGGAGACGGACACGGTGACACGCATATTATGTAGTTGAAAACACGGCTAAACACTCACTAAAATAAGTAACACAATTGAATGTCGGTCGAACAGGTATCGGTGAGAATAAGATATAATAATAATAATAATATAATAACAATACAGATATAAGTAATAATAATAATAACTACTTCAATGATATAATACACTCGTCCAGGCCCCGATTAACACAACCGTAGGCCCTAGACACATGTGCTAATACAATCCTGTAGTGTTCAGTATTTAAATGATTAAGAAACCTAATGTTTGAGAGAGGTAGTGTTGAATCTCAGTGTTTTAAGCCTTTAAAAACAAAAATATTTAAAATATGAAAATCCATTGAAAAAACACCCTAACATAAAATTAATTTATGTAGCTTGTGAAAATCGTAACTATATTGTAAATCTCTAACCTCTATAATATTGTACCAAAATAATCCTTGAACAAAAAAAATACATTTTTATACTAGAATTGATATTCAAATAGATTTCCAAATAATTAGGTTCTTTACAGTTATATCTTAAATTAATTAAAATATGTTTGTGCAAATAAAAACTACGTTCTGAAATGAAATATGCAGAAAGTACATAACTCAGGTTGATACTTTATACAACACAATATTTTATCAGATTTGATTCATTTTGTGTGCAAACACAGGTGCAATGTCAATTAAAGTAAGTCTCTAGTTATAAGTGTTACAACTATTAAGCAGTCTTGGAGAGTTGCAGCACTTGCTAATTATTATTTATTTTTGGCTCTAGCAGATAGTGCCACTGAAACTCATGTCAACATTATGTTACAATATTATCTCAAATATTAAATTTGAAAATTCTGTTCTTTTTTTTTATACTTGTATTATCTTAAAAATGAGGGAATTATTTTATTCCTATGTTTTAAATGTATTGACCAGTTGTCCGGAACACATTGTTATTATCATGTTTTGAGACAAAGTCAGTCGCTCACACCACTCAGACGACATTTAAACGATACTTTAATACGTGACTCGCGCTGTAAATATTATCACATTTTCTTATTCTTATATGACTCGTAAACACATTGAAATTTAAAAAACACGAGTTTAGTAAGTAAACACGACAAGTTAACCATTTATACCTTTATTCCAGAAGTTTTATATTTTGTAGAATGTTTTTTCAGTATGAAGTGAAAATCATTTAAGAATATATTTTTTATCGATTTCTATTTTGGACTACCTAGGTGTCAAAAATAATACAATAAGTAAAGTATATTGTTTGATAAGCTCATTTTTGTTTATTTCTTCAAAATAATATGCATATTGTTACATAATAGTTTATAATTGAAATTATCATTATATAATTTTATCTAATATACCAGCACCATATTTTTTAATAAAAAAATAGAACAATTTATAAGTGATTATCATTTGTCATTTGATTATGTTTAAATACATTACAATTGTTTAAGTAACGGTTTGAGTTTTTTTCTATAACTGAATATTGAACACTGGGAGATATAACTACCGATAAATACATCACCTGCATACATTTTTTGTACTACTTTCCATTGGTAGTTAATTACATCAGAATACCACCGAACCCCTTGGTCAATATCATATGTTGCATTTATCAATCGATAATTTACCTAAACACAAAAAGTCAATTAATTATATTTAAAAAAATATTTGCACATAAGCTTTTATACATAACATTAAAAAAGCATAGGATTACGACTACGGGACGAACTGACTGTCTACAAACTAATTAACAAATTAATCATAATTAAAAATAATACAACTAAAACACAACTAAAACACTACAATACCATTGAATTGTCAAGTAAGCCAAAGTTAAAAAATATACAAACAACTTAATTATCATTACTTTATTTAATGGGCAAACCATTGGTGGATCAAACGAACCGTACCACCGGGACCATATTTGATTCTTGTCCTTCAACTTAGGGCAGATATCTGTTAATGTCCACGTTTGAAAGTATTCACAGTTAATGCCATCAGCATCGCAACGATGGAAAATTCCGATAACCTTCAACACAATTGACAACAATATGTTAAACTAAACAAAAATAAGTGTGTAAATGTTTCAATAATCGATGTGTACGTGATTGACTTAGTGTTATCCCACATCAAAAATACAATTGTATACGATTAGGTAAGTCCTGTATTATGGTTGTTTAATTTACAATTGTTTTACTCACTTTGTCGACTAATAATTTCGAATGTATAGTAATATTTCCATTTACATATTGATCATCTTTGTATTGGTCGATCGTGAAGTTCCCAGTGATGTTCCCATGTACAGACATTTTTTTAAAACGTACGGTATACGTTAACAGTGGATTGTACTGAAAATCGTGGTAAAATAACATTTTTTAATCAGGCAAATCTATTCGTATATTATTGAAATAATAGTTTATACTTTATACCTATAATTCAAGTCTTAAAATATTATTATTAATTTATTTTCATTTAGTTATAGACTAAATTTTAATCACTTCTAGATTTAATAATGTTGTTCTGCCATGGTCTTTATGAATTTTAAATTTGTTGGTTAATTCATAATAAATATGACTGATAAATTATAACTCTCTTAAGTCAAAAAAATCGCGAATTAAAACAATAAACAATTTTAGAATTTTAGAGGAGTGACTTAAGTGTGTGTATTCTGTATGTATTTAAGCTATATCACAGGTTTGAAATATCTAGCAAATTATCTTGTTGCAATAGCCTTTACAAGAAAGTTTAACAGCAGGTATTAATTATATACTAATTATGTGTATATACTTACTACCGGAATCACATTCCTTACAAAACCTCCAATGAAAATGACAATCAATAACTTAAATAGTGCCATTATTTACTTGTATTTTTTACTAATGCATTTCCGTTACGAGATAAACATTTAAGAGTACAAAGTACAGCAGAACTATCTATTAACACAACCTGTTGAGTTCAAATACCAGTAATGAATTGAAAATCGTAAAGAGAATCACAAAAATGTCCTTTTTGTTCATAGTATTTCATTAAATTCAAATAGATTGAGTTTGAATTATTTTGTTCAATTATAATATTAATTACATGCCAGTTGAAGGCCTGTCGGCTGTCATGGTTCGGTTTAGTAATCTATTAACTATAGCAATATAATAATACTAATATTAATAAATAAAAATATAATGCACAATATATTTTACATTTTTTTTTTTTGAATCAGTAAAATCATGATCTATTGTGAACAATATTATTATTTTAAATGATAAACTGATAAACTAGATGAACTAGCCTTGATATACATTATTATATAACAATAATTTTTTTTAGTTCACCGAATTTTGAATTGAGCAAAGTCAGGTATAATACTTGTTATATCTGTATTAATATAAAGAATGATTTACTAATCATGCTCATAACCGTTTATTTGAATTTTTAAATTTACTTAATTACTAAATACCATAGGTATTCTTAGAAATGTTGATTTTTTGTATAATTTAAAGGGTTTCCGGTAATGATATAGTAGCTTATTTTTAGATTCTTAGACACGATTTATAGAAGAAAAAACGCTTTGATTTTTAACTTCATTATTGTTTCTAGTAGAAAATTGAATTTTGGTTGGTACTTTGATTATGCATTCGGTAATTATTACGATTTTCATTTCAATACAACTATGTAAAGTTACTTTAATGTTTAATTATTGGTTTAGTTACAGCTTCATTTTTCTGTCACAAAATTAATTATTTTGTGACATGTCACTTGCAACAAATTTATCACCAACGTCGAACTTTTGTGACACTCTAAATTGGTACTGAGCGTCACTCGAGGATAATATTTCGGCTGGAAATTGTTCGAGGTTGGTTGAATTGTTTGTGATTAAAAATTCATCTGTATAGTTTGTAAGATGATAATATTTCTTTTCAATATAATAATTAATTGACATTGTATGTATTGCTCAATTGAGTCGATTAGTTTAAAGTATAAGACAACGGAAATACGGTAAAATTGTCACCAACTCGACGTACGTAATAAAACTACAGATTAGGTTCTCCACTAATAATTGCATGTTTATCAATATATCTACATTCTAAAGACAACAACATTATTGAAAATTGTATAGATTCCTGCAGAAGATTAACGGGGTAATATCAAATGTTCGATTTTCCTAAAATTTCATTATCGTCAAGTACCCCTTTATAACATGGGACAAGGGCCCAAGGTTTCTCTGAAGTAGTTACATGATTAAAAAGTTGAAAAAAAGTGAGCGTAACTCCACAAATATTTATATGAGTATCTAACATTTAAATTTTGATGATATTTGTTACTAATTCTTAGAATAATATTTTCTCATCAAACGATTTTCTTATTCTGTTGACTTACTCCGACAAGGTACATTCGACAGACTGTACAACAATTTCTAACCAACTATCTTGACGAATGCATCGATTTTTGTAGTCTTTGTGTCTGATGATTTGGCGATTCTATTAATATAAATCGATCAAATGTAAGCATTTATCATTCAACCATTCAACTCTACTTGTTTGTTGGTTGGTAATTTTGTAAGTACTATTAATTCAAATTTTCACAACATTATAAATTGATTAAATATCAATAACTAGTACATATACACATCGACACTTGTAGAATGCAGTGAAGTGACTGGTATTTTGTCTAAATGTGTGTGTAAGTATCTACTTACCGTTGTTGCCTAATATTAAACTTATATTAAAAAAAAAATAACCATAAAACATGTGAATATAATATACATATTATAGAGTTCTTAATTATTATTAAGACTGAACAAGAATTGTTGAGTTTCACATTTTAATTAAATATTTATATTTGTATATATAATAATATTCTCTCCTAAAGTATTTTTAATTAAATTAATGAACTTTTAAATTTTAATACAGAATTATTATAGCAATTTAGAAATATCGAACATACCTACCTATAATATAGGCATAAAAAATGTGAATTTGATGAAAATCATTAGTGGATAGGGTAACCGTTTGTAGGTATAGCTGAACTTAATGATTAGTCACATATAATCTATATTTTTTAGTCTCGAAAACATGAAAATGAAGATTTTCGAAACAACATTCTTGATCTTTGGATTTTTAAAAACAGAAAATCTTCTATACCAACATTTTGATAAAATAAAAACTGTATACCTACAATGGAGATTACTACAACAATCAGTCTTACCTCAGTGAAAAGAGTTTGTTCTGCCACTAATAACAAAATTAAATATTTTAAATATCTTATAAAATAAGTACTGGACGCCAGCTTTTCTGAAATCTGTCCACACAAACGCAACACAAGTCGTGCGGATTTTCCTTTTATGTAGACCACTTAGTAGGACGATCAGAAATTTTTCTGTGAAAAAATCCGCTGAAAATGAATTTGTGACGTCACACTTGTGTCTTTCGGTGAAAGCTGCTCCACTTGAACACGCCTTATAACTTTTATGTCTGACTTAATGGACAAATCATCGGTGGACGTATGAGTCGTAAAACGGGACCATTACACTTGATTCTTCTATCATAATATTTCCTTCAAAGATCTGTTAACTTGGAAGTACACCCAATCAATGCGATCTTTGTCACAAACTCACAACCCTCAGATACAACTAAAATCTTAAACAAAAAAATATGTAGAGTATTATACAATTTAAAATAAGAAACCAAACAAACCGAAACATAATATTACTGTGCTTATTAATATTTATTTACTTTCATATTTGATCATTTTTAATTTCCGCCACCGGTTGCATTATTTAAATTGATTTCGTGGACAAAGAAATGATACCGACTGCTGTAAAAATGTTTACTTCATGGTGGGGAGGTAAACAATAAGGAATCAGTATTTTCATTTTAATAAGGTTGGAGACATTTTTGGCTATTTTCAAGAATACAACACCTAGGCGTTTATTTAAACAACTTTCTAAAATGACAATATATACATATATTATTATACTTTAATACTACGAATCGGTTTATATTTAATGCTGTGGTTCAACTTAATAAATAACACGTCATTGTAGTTTTAGAACAGACTTGGTTTTTTTTCTGTAGCCAAAAAAATAAAATTCCATCGTGTAACTACCGATAAATATATCATCTGTGTAGAACTTTTGAACTACTCTCCATTGGTAATCAGTTACTTGAGGATACAACAGTAGAGCTACACCAAGATCAAAAGTTGCATTTCTCAGTTGATAAGTCACCTAAACGTATACAATTATTGTGGTTCAATCTCAAGATACAATTACTGTAGATTTTATAAATTATACATAAATAGACTGCGCCCATTTATTTTCGTTTACGTAAGCCGTACTTAACTTTTGCTATATTACAATATTATTTCATTTTCAATACATATTACGGTAATACGTGTTATTTGAAGTATCTAGCCAACCTTCCCCCAAACCCAGATTTTAAACCTAAGATTTATTATTTACCTTTATCAATAATACAATTTATTATAAAAAATATATTACAGTATACAATTTTATATTATTACAATATTTTTGACAATTAAAGCAAATGAAAAGGTTAAACTAACTATTATATATAATATATTTCTTCCTTACTTTATTTAATGGGCAAACCATCGGTGGATCAAACGAACCGTACCATCGGGACCAAACTTGATTCTTATCCTTTAGTTTATTGCAAAGGCCTGTTAATGTCCACATTTGGAAGTATTCGCAATTTATACCATCAGGGTCACAACGATGAAATACTGCAACAGCCTTAAATATTAAAATACAATTTTTTAAGGTGCTATTATTACTGGCTATTTAATATACATAATTTTAATAACTGTTTGAAAAAAATACCTAGGTAGTAGGTATACTTTAACAACATTATAGAAAATTGGTTTGATGAATTATTATTATTCAAAATAGAGTTTAATATGAAAAGTTCTTTTATACTTTTATTTGTACTTACTTTGTTGACCAATTTTTTTGAATTATAAAATTAATTAATTAAATTATGATTATACATATATAATTAATTAAATATGATTATTTAATGTGCTATTACTACCACTTATTTAATGTAATTTCAATAATTATTTAAAACGTTCAAAACAAATAAATACAATTTAACAACATTATCAATCAGTTAATTTGTTGAATTGTTATTACAATTTAAAATGGAGTTTGATCTGAATAATGGTTTTATACTTTATTTTGAACTTACTTTGTTTATTAGTTCTTTTGAATTGACTGTAATTTGGCCATTTATAAATTCTCCTTCTTTGTATCGATTGATCGTATAATAATTAACAGTAATGTTAGGTTGCACTTCCAGTCTTTTAAAACGTACAGTGTATGTCAGCATAGGATTGTACTAAAAGTTATAATGAAACATACATATTGTTTAAGCATAAATTGTTGACCTGGGAAGTGATGAGCTTATGTGCAGATATAAGACCTTTGCAGATATATAATATGAATTATCTGCTAAAACTCATTGCTTTAAAATTGAAGTTATTTAAATATTTCGAATAAAATAGGCCTATTCAATATTCTAATAATTAGGTAAAATAATCAATTTAATATATCAAGATTTTGAGATTTTCTTCTCAATAACATTCTACTATGAAAATAATTTCGTCTGATATAGGTACCTACTGAAAATGTATTATTTTTATTAATTTTAAATTAAAACTGATGATTTAATGTTAGGTATTTTTAACTCATTATTGTGCCATAAAATTATGTGTTCGATTGTGTTGGTTTTTCGATCTCAAGTACCGCCATACCGGGTACTAACTGACATATTCTAAAGAATAGTAACTATATATAATAATAAATATACCTACAGACATAACATTGATGACAATTGCTCCTATACAAATGAAGTAAAACGCCATCTTTTTTATGTTTGCCATTATTTCCTTGAGCTGTGGCATACAATAATGCAATTGCTTGTGGTTGTAAAAGTTAAATTGATCAATGACGGTATCTATAGTACCTATTAAATATGTATTTATGGTTTTAAAATGGTTTGATACAAATAATAAGTCGACCGCATAACTATTCAATTCCAACTGCAGGGACCATGAAAAATAAAATTGCAATGAAAAAATTACAATTGCAATAGTCAAACATTGTCATATTATACCAATTTCCTGTTTACTTAGCCTATTTTAAATAAATAATCAAATAGATACTATCCCCTTATTTTGTACACAACTTATTCACACGTGAAACAAAATATTCTTTGAATGGACTGCGATAGATAAATGTTGAACTTTGAATGGACTGCGATATAGATAAATGTTGAAATTACTGTTGCTATTGCAATAACATTGGTATTAGCATTGACTGTAAATCCTAGTATTTATAATCAATGGTATTAGTAAAACAAATTTATATTTTTCACTTTGAAAGTTTTAGCCAGTTCTAGGGAAAATTTAATAGTTTGGAGTTTAATTTAATTTAATTCGTAGTACCTACTCAAGTACTTTTATTAGCAACCCTTATTTTCGTTATCAGGTATAGGAAGATATTTTTTTTTAAAGTAATTTTGAACTATTTATACTTAAAATGTTATTTGAAAATACAAAAATTGAAAAATTAGAAAAATTTCTTATTATTGGATTTCACCAAAAATATGAACACATATGATATTTACACTTGAATTGAGTGGATTTTTTTCGTGGATTTGGATATTTTTATTTAAAAAGTAAATTACTTTGTTGCATGATTTTTGTTTAAGTTAAAATGTTACATAAGTATTATATATATGTATATATTATATAACTATAAAAATCTACCACAGACGTAACATTGATGACAAGTGCTCCAATAAAAATTAAAAAAAATGTTATACTGTTATAAGTAATTCATATCTGTTCAGATGGAACAAAACGAGACCAGGATAAAACGAAATTCCAAAGAACAAATTAGGTACTATTATTTTGCTGTAATAGTCAACCATTGTCCTATTATACCAATATCTTTTTTATATGACCGGATGTGAACAGACTTTACTGCAATTACTTAAATACCTAATTATGTATATAGAGATAAATGTACTCTTTAAATTAAATTTGATAGAGGAAACTTTGATATTACTATTTTTTCAATAATTGGGGTTAGTAATAAAAATGAATATTTATGAACTATAATTGGATGGCAAAATGTACCATGTATGAAAAATGTTCATATAAATAATTTGGGAAAATTTAAAGGTTATTATACAATCGTTTTTTAGCTTTTGAGTTAAGCCAAAAAAACAAAAATAATGTTTTTCTTGACTAACTAACTTGATTCACTTTCCCACCAGAAACAAGACTGAAACAGATGACTTTTACTGCCACAAAAGTGATATTTTCAATATGTCACGTTGATAAGCTCTTGATTAGAGAACAATATTATACAGACCGTCATAAAAAAGTTATTACATTATTTAAAGAACAATTTGTCAAACCCTTTCATATAACTCTTATAGCCGATATTGTATTAATGAATGCATAATATATACTAGTATATTACAATAAATAATATTAGAGCTTACGCGTTAATATTATAATATGTGATTGACATATTTGCATAATTGCATATGAAAAGTATTTTCAAATCAACTATACATAACATAACAAAATACAACGTTAATTTTAATTTAATTAATATTATATTTTATTATTCCAACTCCATCTGATTGAAGTACATACGTGATCACAATATTATCATGTGAAAATATGTGATAATGTGGTATAGGTACCTATAAATACCATTTTTATCGCAATTCAGTTGCTTTGTTTGATCGTGAGTTGAACTTTCCGATTTATTCTAAAAACATAATAATAATATAAATATTACAAAATAATAAATACCTACCATAGACGAAACATCGATTACGAGTGATGCTCCCATAAAAATAAAATAAAATATCATATTTTTAATAGTTGTTGCCATTATTTTCTTGGTGAAGTAGTCCCATGGATTAATACTGTTGCTTTCAGTTGTAAACGTTATATACTAATATACTAATAATGTACTATATGACTGTGTACAACATATAAATGAATGGTTTTAAAATATTTTTGTACAAAATATATTATATTATACTTTATAGTTTTTGTTCATACATCTGTCCATGCGGAAAGGCACGAGATCAGAATAAAACAAAATTCCAGAGAAAAAATTACATACTAATATATTGATGAAATATTATTCCGATTTCCGGTTGTTTTTTTTTTGCGTGTTGTAAACAAATGAAATTGCGACTTCCTCGTTATTCATACACGAAAAAAATGGTAGTGCGATGGGTAGAAATTCAATTTGATAGTATTACAAATATTTTAATATAATTCTATTCAGGGTTTAAATTAATCATACACGTTATTTGTGTTGTACCTGACAAATTTGATTCAATTAGCTATATAAGTACTATGATAAGTACCTATATATATATATTCAGGGCCAGATTAACCATGTTGGGGCTCCTGGGCAAAGCCATTCTCGGGGCCCATTTACCCTTTTCTAACTTCCCGAAATCCATTTTTTCTACCAGTCTACACAATGTGATTATATTCATAATTATATACGCTATTTTTTTTACTACATTACGAAGGCATTCCGTTTTGAGTTTCAACTAATGTATAGGTTTGCCTTTAGAAATGTGATTTTAACTGTATTATTATTTTCTGTTCTAAATAATAATTAGGCAAATTTCCAAGCTTATTTACCATTGTGGTGTATATTTTCACAAACAAAGTCACTGAGAACACTATTCCGTGTGTACAACTTTAAATGGATTGGCATACAGATCAGGAAAAATTCGAAACAATTATATTTTATTCAGCTGGATAGGTAGATTTCGGTGTAGAAAGTATTACTGTAATAAATTGTTTCATATTCTACAACAACTATATCATAATATTCTCTAAACTGTGTGACAGTCGACACCTTGATAAAATGTTAAAAATATGATTGTTATTTTTTTTTAAAAACATTTATACGAGTCACATATATAGGAATATTATTAATAAATTTAATTAATTACCTACGTAATAGATTTATTTATACCATTTGGGAATTTCAGCTATAATATTTTATTTCGCTTAACCAATACATATTTTTAGAATATTTAACAATACAGTTTATTTTCCGTTACCATTCTAAAATGTCAATATATTTTTCAATCTTCCATCTATACTTCGACTATTTCACATAACTAAAAATGTTTTTATCATTATCGATGTGTGGTGTGTACACCCATGATATTTAGATACATTCAATTTATTCATATGTTATACTAGAAATGAATTTTTTAATTTATTTTATGTGCAAAAACAGTCCACGGCTGCTATAAGGCCATTGGACGTCCAATGTATTACATCATAGTGACATAGTGTAGATATTAAGTGGTACATATCTTGGATTACAGAAAAGTTAATAATGGTAAGGTTACATACGATAAATGAGATAAGACAATATAAAATAAGGGAATAACTTTACATAGGTGTATAATTTGATGTAGTATGGTGATTTGTGATGCCAGTTACACCAGGTTGATCAAATGTGAAAGAAATTGGCGGAGGTTGATGATGTTGGATGGCTTAGTGGTTCCTCAAGGTGATCAGATATTTGCATCCTTCTTCTCTTCGTGCTGTACAGGTATGTGTTTAGCGGTGAAGGGGTTAGCATGAACAGATGGGAGTTCTTCTTTCTCCATAAGATCAGATATGAAGTGTATCCAAATAAAACTTACAACAAACAATGTTAAGTTTATTTTATCATAACAAATTTTATAATGCGAGTATAATAACACCATCGTTCCGAGCTAAATATTAGGAAGGTACAAACAATAATAATAGTTAGATGATAAAATGTATTACTTAGGCTCAGAGTATAAATTGTTGTAAGTGTGGTTATTAATAAAATTAAATAGTCTGGTAATGGTTAAGTAAATTGTAAAATATTGCCATACTTAAAATGATATTATGTTTTATTGTTTTGATTGTTTTGATGGTTTTTTGTTTCTTTTCCTGTAGCCAAACACCGATAGTTCAAACGTGTAAGTACCTATGTAACGTTCACCAGCATAAAACTTTTGTGACACTTTCCATTGATAGTTAACAACATCAGGATACCATCGAACCGCTTGCTCAAAATCAATAGTTCCATTTCTTATAAAAGAATTCACCTAAATATTTAAAGTATAGAACAATTAATAATCAATAATGTTTTGTATAATATTATGTCTACATGTACGTTTTATAGTTGCTTAAAGAACAATGTTCAAGCTTACTAACTAAATTAAAAATATTACAAAAATAAATCAAACGAATTGAACAGTTCAATTATCTATTATATAAATCAGTGGTTTTCAATCTTTTTTTAAACACGACACTTGAACAACATTTTCTTCAACAAAGACTTCTTCTATTAATGGTTTACGGAAAAATTAGATAAACAAATCTGTACTTTATTATACATTTATATTAATTAAATTATATTTTTATTTATAATAATCATAATGAATGAAAACTTTTAAAGGCTTACCGATCATCTAGTCTCTATATAAAATGATTGATTTGCTTAAAACCACTGATATAGCTTATAATAATATATATTCATCAAAAGACTCAAAATATTTTTTATATTTCATCATATCCAGATATTGATAATTCAAATATTTGGTCGAAATTTAAAGTATACGAGGTTGTTCATTTTGGAATTTTAATAAAATCGTTTTTGGTCAAATATTACTATATGGTGTTTTGTAAATATTCCAGTTTTTTCTTGTTTTCATTATTATTTAGGTAACTTACATTACATTTTGCAAACATTGCATTTCAAATAAAATTAATATTTTCTGAGCAATAGAGTGAATAATATGAGTATAATCACATTGTAATCATTACATTTTATTGTTATACCCCAGTTTTAAATATTATATGATGACGTCATATTAAAAAGCAGGAATAATTTAAAAAATGCATATCTTCAGATAAATTAGTAGGTACAAGGATCATATTTCTTACTTTTTTTACTGGACAAACCGGCTGTGGATCAAATGCCCCGTACCAACTGGACCATATTTGGTTCTTGTCCCTTAATTTAGGACAAAGATCTGTCATTGACCATGATTGGAAATATTCACAGTCCACACCTTCTGGATTACAACGATGAAATACTACGACAATCTTTAAAAAAAAGGTTTATACGCATAACAAATTGTACCGTACTTTATAGGTAATTGTTAATAACTTTATATACCACCATCAAATAAATAAATTATAAGCAACATTTTTTATATACACTATTGTCTACAGTTAATGTAATATTATCTTTTTAATGTAACTGCTATATAATAATATATTATAAATATGTATTATATCAGGTTGACTGTCATGTGTACATTTGTTTGTACACGAACAAATCTCCATACTTGTATAAACAAATATTTTTATACTATCCAACAAATTTTAAACGATAATTTGCAAAAACTTCTTTTTTTATAATTTTGTTTTTTTGTTAATTAAAATATCCATTTGATATCTTCGCTGAGTAGACAAACTGGTCCTAGGGGCCACAATATTTAATTCCAATGTTAAATCAGTACAGGCGTGTACACATTTCTGTACATGGAAAGAAAAATGGTAAGTAAAGGAGTGTACACAATTTTGTACACACGGCACAGGGTAAAAAGTATCAAAAATCATTGTGGCAGTCAACCTGATATATTATATAAACGATATTACTTAATCCGAAACATTTTATCACAGGTAGCTAATTTTTTAATACTAGATAGTAATAGTCACCTACCTTGTCTATTGTTTGTGGTGAGTCAAGTGAAAGAAATCCGTTGACGAATTCTTTTTCTCTATGTTTCTCAATTGTATAGTTTCCAGTGAAGTTTGGTTGAAATGACACTTTTTGAAATCGTATTGTGTAAGTTAGCAATGGATTGTACTGAAAATTATTATAGCCATGTAAACGCATTTATTTCTTTATAAGTTGTAAAGCATACAAGTATTGAATAATATAATAATATAATATAGAATAATATCATGTTTTTGTAGTATATTTACAGCAGCAAATATCACGTTTTCAAAACATTTCCCAATACAAACAATAAAAAGCAATTTTATAAAAAACATTTTTTCTCTGGAATGGATCGCTGCTTCCAGTATATGTATAAGTATATAGTATAGCCTGTTTAAACTTTTTATTCGAAAACCTTTGGTCGATGCAATGCTTAAACGACATCAAGTATAACTAAATTGTATGATATTTATTATAGTTAGTTTTTGCTTTTTTAACCAAATATTGACATTGTTTGAAGTCAACCATTTATAATATTTATAATAATAGTATCGTTATAATCACTGATCAATTTGATAAATTCATCACGCAATAACTGCGCTTTAGTGTTTCTTATTTTGAATGCAATACAATCGTAATTGCCTATAATGACTTAATCTGTTTGTCCTTAAATTTGGTCATTGAGTTTTTGATTATTTGATAAAATTATAAATGCATAAAAAAAAATTCAACTGTAACATTTTGGTTTCTTAACGAAGCAATATCAATGAATTGGTGTAACAATTAACAATGATATGTTTTGTCTGCAGTCATCACGTTTTTGAGCAGAAAAAAAGCTTCGATCTAACTCTGTAGGTGATTCTGGAAGAAAATATATTATCTGATTTCTCTGAAGGAATAAAAAGTCGTAAGAAAAAACTAAACAAAGAATGACGGGAAAGCGAAATATTTACGAAATACTAGTTTTCAAAAAATTGATTTTGTTTTTTGTTCTATAGCTGTAGGTATAAAAACTTGACATCTCCACAATATACTTATGTTAGTATTTCTTAGACATAATATAATTTTGAAAACATTTTAAACAATTTGACAATTTTAGATTCTGAGCTAGGTATAGAAGCTAATCTATAGCCTTTTCCCAGATTCTTTTTTCGTATAAGTACATTAATTATTTAACATTGAATTCAAATTGACAATCGACTTCAGTGACATTTACTCAAATTGACACATTATTCATTTGGAATCTAAAATTAAATTTTTTTTAAATGATAATTAACTTTATTAAATAAACGAAAACTCAACATTAACGAGTTTTGAGGACACATTTTTAAACATTATGAACAATTATAGCCTACTATATAATACTATGTACAGTAGATCGATCTCCTCGGTTTCTAATTTGTTAATCATTTTTTTTTTTTTTTTTGTTACAGTACCATTTACCTACAAGTGTAATTAGCATAAAAATATATACATAATATTTATACATTTAATTTTGTTACACAGTTGAATGAGCAAAGTAAATTATTAAATTGAGTAATAGGTATTGCGATTGACCATGATCGGTTTTAGAAAAAAACAATGTGTAAATATGCGTAACATGCAATCATGTGATTATTTATGATAATAACAGATTGAGGTTTTTGCTCGTGTTTACATATAATTATAAAATATAAATGATCTAGAAATACGGCAGAGTACCCTAAGAATTCGTATGCTTTATAATATGATATGCAACCATAGAAGCAACTTTGGAATAATATTCTGAGCAAAGCGATGAATGTACAGATTTACAATTATGTGATTTTTTTTTGTACGTATTTCGAAAAATTTAAATTCTGATTTTTAGTGTTGATTCTAAAAAAAAATAACCCTTTGGTACATGAATTTTTCACTAAATATTTATATTAGCATTTTATATACATAATATAATTTCATAAATATTTTGACTACCTACCTATTTTAGAGCTAATTATAGGCATACATTTTGATTTTTATTAGTTTTTTTTTTAAATTACCGTAATTAAAATAACTTCTACTTAGTCAAATAGTTTAAAAATATTATCCAAGGTTAATTACTATTGAAAATTGTTATAATAGCAGTTGCTATATACATCAATGATACATTGGAACGATTTTTTTTAACATTTACATTTGAAATGTTGACAAAACTCATTCAGATTTCAAAATTAATTTTACCACATTAGTCACAATAAAAGTTTTATTAGATCTATAAATGATATTTATTTTTATATTTTTAGTTTTTTAGACAATAAAACAATATTTTACACCATTTAGCCAAATTATGTAGGTTAGTTCATATTTTATTACGAATATTTCAATACTCCAATTTAAATAGTGTGTTAAAATTATATATATTTACATCTACATTTTAGTAAATTATACCCCGGTATACTCACAATTTTTTACTTTAATAAGCTTTTATTTAGACATACAATGATTTGATTACTAAGTTCTATATTAAGTATTTATTAAATGTTTTCTCTATTTTAAAAAAAAAAGCTTTATTGGACTAATGTATACAATATTTACAAAGTACTATATTTGTACTCGTATATATAGTGTATATATTATGTATATGAATCATAATAATATTGTGTCGCCGTGTCGCGTTCAATGCATATAGATAAGTATCACACATAGGTAAGCCAAAAAAAAAAAAAAATTCAAATTATATTGGACATGGATGAGCAGTTCGTCCAGTTATCTAACCTTCATCAAAACTGTAATAACTAAATTACATGATGTGAGTGTAATGGCTATGGCCTCCAAACACCGTAGAGTGGGAAATCAATTTTGCAAGTTTGAAAATCTGGAATAAGTTTAGTTCATTTATTATTTAAATCTGTTAATAATTTTCATACATTATTTATGATCCTTAGAAATGAACGATTTTTTTATTTTCAATACACCTAATCTTTAAGCTAGGAAAACATTAATAATATTTTCGTTATCAAAAAATGTACTTAGAGGATACAGTGTGAGTGAGTAACATAATATTAAAATTACATTTTTAGAGAATATTGTGTCTGAAGTAAATATCAACCATTTGGAGCGCTATAAGTGAACTAGGTATGAGCGCAATTCTAACTTTTTTTATTTCATTGAAATCTGTATTGGCCAGAGTATAAAAAATTATTTCATATGTTTATTATAATTTTAGTAAATAGTAACAGTATTATATGCACTATCAAAAATCCAATGGACAATGCTCGACTGTTGAAACGATTTATTTGTATAATAATAGTAATTTGTCATCAATTATAGCCGAGTTCCAAATTCAACAAGGGGCTCTCACATTATAAGGTAAGTGAGTTTAAATTGATAATAATTTGTAATAGTATTGAAGGTGGGTAAGTATAATACGAATTATGACATGTTGAAATTCCTAGAAATTTTTCTTTTTTTAAATATGTTTACTACACTACAACTACATGTGTAGGTCATTTAAATCATAAGTCGAAAATATAATAAATTATGTTATTATTAGAGCTCGGGAGTTATTACTTATTATACTAAAAAAACGTTGCTACACACATATCCAAAATCGCATTATTTATTGTGTTTGGCAATTGCATGTCGTACATAATTAACATGGTTTTGTAGATTATCTGTAAACATAAAAAATTCAGATAATTTACAAAAGTTGAATGATAAGGCACAGGTCACGCTTCTTTTATTCCTGCACGAACGACGATCCAGTGTAGTATCATTATGTATTACAATAATTGTAATTATTATTATAAATTAAATAACAACAATACATTTAGAATTCTTTTAAAAACTAACTGCATCAGTCGAATCGTATACATAAAGCAATATAATATTTTGATGTAATTACATTTTGCTTTTAGATTCTGAGCGGAGCATTCTATGTATTGATTTTACAATGATATGTGTTGTTTTTTTTGTGTCTGTCATCACCTTTTGGTACAGTAAAAATGCTTTGATTTTCTTCAGCAGCATATTTTCTAGGTGAAAAATGAATTTAATGGGGATCATATCTGGGGAAGTAAAAAGTAAAAATGTCTGGCGTCAGGAAAAACAAACAAAAAATTAAGAAAAAACTGTGTTTTTTCCGTAAAAATAGTTTTAGAAAAAAATCGATGTAGCTTATTAGTATTATTCTAGAAAAAAATAATTATTAAAGTTACATACAATTTTTAATAAATGTTAATATCAGCAATTTCCATGCACCATACAATTTTTCGAAACACGGCTATTCTTTTTTGATCTATTTATAGGCATAAGACAATTTCGCGTTTAGTTTTTTTTTAATTATTTTAGATTAGAAAATGTATGCTTGGTCAAAAAATTGGAAAATGTTTAAAACGTTTTTCATAAGTTGTTATTATTGGAAATTTAAAAAGAAAAAGTATAAAATAAATAATATAAAAGTATTTTATCATCAATATTATTCTTGAAAGTACTCGATGTGTGGGATGACAGTGTCGCGTAAGTTTCCACACCACCTTTGCTTTTTAAACAGCATAATTACATCACATCAGCCATGTTGTTTAAAAGCATGAGGTATTACACGTGGCGCGTTTTTTTTATTGTGGTGTCCCCCGTAGGCATAGTCCACGTCGTAAGAGAGAATACACGAATGCCGGTCGACTACAATGATATTTTAATTTACATTGAGAAAAATGTTATAAAAAAATATGTGTATTATGCATCAATATGACATAAATTTTAAAAAAACATTTCAGGAAATATCGAATTTAATGTTTAATTTTTAACTCTTAATTTTGTCGCAACACGGAATTCGCACTTTTTTTCTTACTATAGTGTTGAATTTTAGTGTGTGCCTCTGGAAAAGCAAGCTAAGCTGCTGGCACCAAGGGATTTGTATTTATCACAGAGTATTACAAGTCCAAGAGGAGTAAAAATGGGTTAAAATATTACGGGTTCCTATACGGGTTTCCTATTAGAAACCGGGTAGAGAAGTTGTGGGTTTCGGATTTCGTATTAGAAACCGGGTAAAAAATGTCGTTGGTTTCGAGTTTTGTGTTCAAAACCGGGTATAAATTGTTGTGTGATTTGGGTTTTGCTTTCAAAACCGGGTAAAAAATGTCGTTGGTTTCGAGTTTTGTGTTCAAAACCGGGTAAAAATTGTTGTGTGATTTGGGTTTTGCTTTCAAAACCGGGTACAAAATGTTGTGGGTTTTGATTTCAAAACCGGGTGCAATATTGTTTGCGGGTTTCGCGTCCGAAACCGGGTACAATATGTTGTTGACGAGCTACGGGTATAAGGTACAAAGTTGGTGAACTACGCGGGTTGTGGGTTTTGCGTTAAAAACGGGGTAAAATTGTTTGCGGGTTTCGCGTCCGAAACCGGGCACAATATTGTTTTGCGGGTCACGGGTATTAAAGTGGGTCAATTTATTAGCGGGTTATGGGTTTTGAGTTCAAAACCAGGTAAAATGTTTTAACGGGATACCCGTTTTTACTCCCTGAATTTATAACATTCATGTGACGGGGCTGGGAATAATGAGTACTTAGGGGAAATAAATTGAAATAATTCATGTATTATTCATAGGTGGGTATAATAATAACAATAGTTTTAAACTTCTTGAAGGATGATCCCTTCCTCGGATATATATTTAAAATTCAACACTATCCTAATATTATAACTATAACTAATTATTAATTATTATTACTATTATCATTGTTATTATAGTTTTTATTACATATATTATATTGTATTTACTATCATTATTTATTAGAGATCACCAAAAGTCCTATTTCTAAGTCTCAAACATACACTATTCCTATTCGACCTCTCTGTTCAATGTGTCTTAAATGTCACAAAACTCATTCATAAACAATTATTTACGGTACTGGAAATCAGGGTGTTCGACACCGGCCGGTGAAAGTGTGTGATGTGTTTGGAGTGGAGATTAAATGGTAGGTACAATATTAAATAAAATAATAATTATAGGCACGGGATACGAATAATACGGAGACAATTCGCTGCGAAGAGTTTTCTTTCACATCTACTAAACCGCCGAAATCACCAAAATCCTCTATAAACACGGAATTATATTATCAATCACTATCACAGCTCACTGTCCCTCTTCTAAATCCATCAATTAATTATTAAGGTATATTACTTATATACTAGTATATACTTCTAAAATAATAAATATACTAAAAATACTCAATAAGTTTATTTATAATACATTAATACCTGTAATAACCTAATAAAATGTATAGTCGAATCTCGATGATTCAAAGTTGCCGGAACTTATGAAAAATGTAAAATTACAGATAGTCGGAAGAGTGGTTCTAGATATCAAGAGGGCAAAAAAATAATTCAAATTACCGTGTTATGAAAAAAATGTGGTATCTGCAATAATAATTTAGTAGTTATTGGAAATAATAAGCTAAATTTTTACACAATATTGTAAGATAAATCACTAACGATAAGGTTATAAGAAATTCATTTTGTTGTATACGCTTCAAATTGCCAGGCGTACTTAAATGCACTGTTTTTATTCGAATTACTGTGATATTTTTAAGGGAACGAGTTTAGAAAGTTTGAAATATCGAGAGTCGACTGCAGTATTAGTAATTATTCTAAAAACATATTTACAAATTACATAAAATAATCTTATACGGTTTAGGCATCAAAAGCTTACCTTAGTTGCGCCAACCAAGAGACGTATATACAAATAATTCCTTACCGTCACTTGGACTCGATTACTTTTCTATTAAGTTAACGGTGTTGAAACATCGAGGTGTATAGAATTAATGCAGGACTGTGTTTTGAGAAATATAATCGTTTGTTAATAATTGCAATCAATGTTGATGTGTGCGTCTATGAATCTAAAAAGGTGTAATGGTTTTATGTTGAAAATAAAATTAACTTAAACTTTACAAACGAAAAGTAACTAAAGAAAGATGAAGAGACTGTCGGAAAAATTTTAGTAATTAAAAATTAAAACAGTAATTGGAAAAATATAAATGTTATTCATGAAAGTAAAAATTGATGTTTATTATACAAATTTATTATGAACGTAACTAAAACGAAAATAACATGAACAAGAAAATTAATAACAAACATACTATTTAGCCAGCATATGCATATCTATTTTTATTATAATATTAAATATGAATAGCTTGTTGGTGTACATTTTATATTATGTTTGTGGTCAATACACGCGATACTAAAAATTAATACCAAGTAGGTATGGCCCTCTGCTAGGACCAATGGGCCCCAAAGAAAATACAAATTGCTTACAATTTTAGATTTATTTAGTTGGAATATTGGAATATTGTAATCGTTATTGTCTTATTAAAATACGTAAAATATGTTTAAATATAATCATATTTGAATATTTTACTGAATGTTTAAGTACTATAATACTTGTATTTAATTCTCTTCATCTTAATTGTATTTTACTAATTATCTTGTTGTTCTTTGTCTAGCTGCCATCGTAGTTCTTTCGCTTCAAAATTGTTGAAGTATTTGCGCAGTAGACAAAATCCAAGCCCAGGTTAACGTGATCAAAGCTCTGCTTAAGAACTAAATAATTCATTCGGTTGAACTAGAGTATAGTCATTAAAAGTTCTGTCTGGTGACAAGAGTATGATTAAAATATAACAGAAGATACATAAAGTCGGATGTAACAGATATTTCAAGTATACCTATTACCTACCCGGATACCTGAGAGTGATATACTTATACATTAGACTAAAAACGTATGTTTAATAAATATTTACTGGAAAACCGAAAGAATCTGTGCTATATTATTAACAATCTTAAAATATACAAATAGCCATTTGCCTCCGGAAAAAAAACTGTCAGTGCACAGGATGGACATAACCTGGAACATGACTTCCAAACACCATTTGGGACGATTTGAGGCAGTTCAGAACATCGCCATTATTTCGAGGTTAATCACCGACCAGAGAGTCACTTTAAGTTCGAAAATCAAAGATTTTATTCTAAATCTAATCGTTGAAGCATCGAGAAATTTATTCACCTTATCCTACAAATCTAGTCCTTCGATCTCACTGGGGCCTCCATAAAATTGAATAAAACACAGACTCTAAATATTATAGCACTCTCAGAAATAGAAGTGTAAGAGACATGTGTAAATAGTCAATATACCAACGCTACCCAACGAATATCAGAGCAAACCAATTTAAAGCAAAGAACGAGTTTATAACATAAAATATCATTCACGTTTCATCGCATGGGTACACTAGCTGTATGTTACCCGAGTAACGAAACGCAAATAATCAAAAAACACGCCGTTTGACTAAAATAACGATAAAATATTATTATATTCTGTTGCCAGTAACAATCGAGTAAGTACCATAATAATATTAATAATGTAATAAATCGTCGCACCTGACTTCGGATCTATACCCTCAGCTAAAAACCCCAAAAGTGCAAGTATAAAATATGGAGTGTTTCGAGCCCGTCGACTCCACTAAGGTGGCGGAATGCGATTCGGGTTCCCAGAACGTTGACCAGATCGAGCTTTTAGATGTGATGGTGCTCAAGACTTGCGGACAACTGGTGTACGACTTGTTCGATCGGTTTGGAAACGACGACGCGACCTCGACGGGCTGTGACAACCACAGTGACACGATATCGTCGACCGCTACAGCGGACAACTACAGCGGATCGTCGAATAGCAGCATGGGATACACGTACCACGACGTGCTGATGGCCCGAGCGTTTGACAGGCTGTACGACGTGATGTCACAAGACCTGGAAAAAGTCAACCCATGTCAGATGCAGCCCAAACTTCTGCTGTACCACAAGCTGAAAAATGTGGTGCGCCATCATCAGTTGCACGAGATCAACAGGTAGGAGGTATTGAAGACAGTAAATTGCATTAGCAGTAGGCATCACAATTTTGAAACGAAATTTATCATTCGTATCCGTAAATTATAATTTACTTATACTACATTTTTAACTGTCGTATCAGCATGATAATAAATTAGGATTGTTGATTTTTGTTATTAAACATAATTATGTGTTAGGGTTGTACTAAGTATGAATAATTTGTGTACTCTAAATAAAAAGGGGATATCATCGAGGCCAATAATTTGGATTTTTAGACGTGCAATGCAATACCGATATATTCGTATTAAAATAGGTTTTATTGGAGGTCATTCATTGGTAAATGATAAAATATAATAATATGTAGAAAAGATCGATATTGTTTAGCCTGATATCAAAATATGTCTCAAATAATGTTATAAATTATAGGTATGTTTTCGGAGACGAACCATGTCAGGATTGGGGACAAGACACTACGGACGCACTGACAAAGGTCCGCGTATGGCGCCTAAAATTTAGTGACGAAACAAAAGTGTTGGACGGTCTGATGAAATCTTATAAAGTGGCAGCCACCAACATTTTACTGCATTCATACGAAGTAGCAATGGTCGCGTTTGCTGTTTTTGGTTTTTTACTGTAAACCAATTTCAATTCATTATTGGGTTATGTTTTGTGACGATTTAATTTTGTGGTTTTATTTTCTGTTTTCAGAGGATACGATGTCACAGTTGATTACAACATTTTGTACATGTTTCGTCGCATTGAGGAAATTTACGAACCATTGACTTTTCAACATGTTCACAATTCCGTGTTGCGGAACGCTAGGTTATTTTTAGAAGGTTATGCTTCTGACGAAGACGAAACATTTTTTGAATCTTTGGCCGAAAATGCAGTTATTGTAGACATGTTTAATTGGATATTTGATCTGTGTTCTGAGCAGCCAGAGGCCGTTGATAAATTCACCGACAACCCTTTCGAAAGTGTTGAGTGTCAAATGTTTGATATCAATGGAAAAAAAATGGCTCCCAGCTACGTCATAAAGTTACGAATATTTTATCGATGGGTTGTAAAGGAACTTTTCGATGTGTTGAGGTATAATATTTTTATTTCATTTAAATTTCCAAAAACCAAAGAAAAATGTATGAATAACGTGTGCTTCAGAGTATTATACATACAATAGAACAAATGAAATAAATATGTGTTTCACTTTAAATTCTATAAATTTCATCATTTTTTTCTTCATCCCGTTGATCGCGTTTTTTTCCTACGTATGTCACGACCAGCAACATTACCTCTACACTTTATGCGATCATAGGTCAATTTAATTTTGTGCATTTTATCAATATTTAGCGGTAGAATCCGAGATCGAATGTCATTATTGGATCACCACGTCAAACAGTGCCTATGCTGCCTGAGCGAAACATCCTGGTTGAAATTATTCGAAGACGTTTATGCGCACGCGCTGAAACATTTCACAACTGTCCTCAGTGAATACAATTGTCCAGAACAAATGTTGAAGACTTTTCACGATATGTGGAGCAATGAAACGTTAAAAGATATTATCATGTTTTTTGTAAATAAACAGGTTGACGACAACACCTATTTAAAGCACCGCGATAGCTCTACGGATTCGAACGAGAGCCTTGGATCGTCATCTGACAGCCAAGATTGAATGGAAGAAATCGAGTAAAATCAATCGACGGACACGTGCTTGTTTTTCAAAAATAAATTCCTACCTGTTCCTATTATGTATCGAACTTTTCGTTTAAGTGTACTTTTTATTTTTGTTCAACCCACACGTTGCCTGCAGTCTATAGCTCCAATTATCCGTTGTATAGTCTATCCATTTCCTTTTTTTCCTTTAAAGTTTTACCTTTTGCATCGTTTTTAATTTGTCCTGTGTAATAGTTTCGAGAACCCCCAGTTTTCTTTCCTTCCGTCATATCTTCTTGTATAACTATGTTAATATGCAGCTCTTCTGGGTGTCTCAGGACATGTCCAACCATTTTACAATGCCCTGCGATTGCGTTGATGAACTCGTCCGCATAAGGTACGGTTTTGTTTATCATGTTCCCCCGTACACCCAACTCATTCTTTTCACGCTCATCCAGTGCCACATCTCAATCATCAGGTGAGCTTTTATAGTATCAACTAGTATTTCTTACACTCAATACGCAAATATGTATATATGTATAATTAATAATTATGTGTTTAAACATATATTATTACCTACGTTATATTGTTATATCGAAAAATAATTGTACCCAACAATGTTCGTGGTCAACGCGCGTGCTCTGCAGTGTCCGTTGAGCTCACGTAGTCGTTTATTGGTATAATATTTTGCGGGCGGCAAATTATTATTATTTTTGTGCGAATGTGCATAATGACCGGCGTCGGTTCGATTGTAATTGGATATAGGACGGAAATCGGATGTTTCCGTTCTCCACCCGATCGATAACGTATACATAATTTAACACGTGTCGGCGGCTCGGTGCTCACACAGTACACAATAATAATATGCGCATATTATCGTATTATATCCGAGTCGGTTTCTGGTGGTTTTTGTCGCCTTCAAAAAACCCGATCACAGAGATACCGATCGGCGGCGGCGGCGGTGGCGGCACAGTCGGCGATGGTGGGTACCGACTCGATTTGTTTCGCACGGTGTGCACTCCTTAAAAGATACGAGTTACGAGTAGGTGGAGCGAATTCACAAAAGATTAATTGTCGTAAACGGCCGGCCGAGTCACGGGGATAATGTGCGTCCTCTGTCTCACTCTCCGCCCCCACGTATAGATGCACGCATGTGATGATATTATTATCCGTCTCTGCCGTCTCTCCAATTCTCCGCATTCGGGCGTCGTCGTATACACCGTGGGTCCAACATTTACGAGTATATGTATATGTATGTATATATATATATATGTATATGCGACCAGAGATAAACCTTGGAGGAGGCCCCCCCACACCGGGCGGTCAAATTTTCCGACCGAGAGATATCCGGGGCGGAGATCTCAATTTTGCGCGGGCGACGACGTATCAATATAATGTATATTTTGTGTGCATTGTGCTGCGTGTGTTGTCGGCTTCTTTTTAGAGGCACCGAAAAAATATTATCAAATATAGTACGTATAATGAAACGACATAAAGGACGGGGAAAATAATAAAACACCATAGTGCGGCCGTCATCGTTGACGGTGCCGCCACCGCCACTGCCGCCGCGCGTTATTATTATTGTAATGTGTACAAATGTCCGTAAGATATTCGATATAATGGCGACAAACGTGTAAAGTCACGGACCGGCATGCGGCGGCTCTTTTATTGTCATTACACACACACGCACGCCGCGTACCTACCCGATGACAATTCAATCGGGACATCAAAAACTACCGCGACAATGAGAGTGGTCTTTGGCGTGAGGTGAGCTCTTGTTATACATACGCCTATAATATCATACGTGTGTGTGTGTGTGTGTGTGTGTGTGTGTGAAAATAAGAATAGGAAAAAATCACATACGTATAATAGGAGTGAGAGCGCACACACACGCATCATATTTATTATCATTATTATAACGTGAGAATTCCGGTCGGTCGGCGAAATAATAATAAAATATAATATAATAATATGATAATGTCATATTATATAAAACGTTGCGCCTACTATATATATATATACATGTATGTATGTAGACGTAGGTATATGCGCGAGTATAATGTACGCACACGCCCACCGACATAAATACTCGGCTAATTTGCCTCGAATCACAATATACCTTTACCGAGGTTAGGGTATACGGTGTATTGTACCTACCACATATTATCACGGCGTACCTATATTATTATTACGGGTTGTGCGACCAATAGACGAACGTGTCCGGAGCAGCGACCGAACAGTGGCGGCGGCGGCGGCGGCGGCGGCGGCAGATCTGGTTTAACGCCGCCGACGACGACGACGACGACGTACGTGTTGTCGTCGCGGGACATCGTGATTAAATTATTTACATTAATTATTTATAAATAATTTTATACGACGACGAGAACGTTTTAACAATAATAATATGTGATACGCGCAAACGAGGTTATTATGGCTTGGTCTGGAGAACTCGCACGACAACTACAATTGTATACTCACTCGCCGTGCTGGTATACCAGTAATGATATCGTGGTATAATAATATGTGAATGGGTGAACTATTACGCACCCAGCGGCGCACATGTGGGTGGGTTGTGCGTCGACGGGTGAACCCCGATCGGAGTTTAATAATTGATTGTACTTCAGTTGTACATGATACGAGTATCGCGGTGTATAATTATTCACCGAGGTATTGATTCAATTAATATGGTTCTAATTTCTATGTTGACTTGGCAGTTTGAGCACTGAGAAAAACATTAAGAACCGTGAGATTATTATTATTATTTATCGACTGTTTATTTATTTGATCATAATATTATGTTATTTAAAACATTTAATTGCGCATGATGTTTTGGATAAATAGGTTTTAAACTATCGTAATATTATACTGTCTCAAATACGATGTACCAATGGTTGGTAACAATCAACTAATTCAATTAGATCACGATTTAAAGTGATATATATTGGAGTATGAATAGTTAAAACTACTCACCTGAATTCTAGATTTAGTATATATTTTATGAGTCTTACAAATGTCCTGAATCATTAATCAGTTTTACCTATCGCGTAGATGATAACCAGTAACACGCCGCTTTACAACTTGTTTCGTGCCGTTCTTGTTTGACTTTCTAATTTGGCAAAACATTTATCATAACTTTTCCACTATATACTCGTATATTGAGAAAGGTTCATCAATTCTTAATTAATTTTGATGCCTTTTATTTGTTTTAAGTATACAATTATTTTTGATTCATTATTTATTTACACATTATGTACACAACGTATATGGTTTGGTTCATAAGCGGTGGGTACAAAAAAAAAATAAATGAACACAACAATATTGTAATACCTAAATGAAATTCATAGAAATCTTTACATGAGAATAGCAATAAAATGATTGCATTACACATACCTGCGGTAACCCGGGGATAGGCAACACATGTTGTTGTGTTACAGCACATTGTATCGCCACATAATAATACAATAATATTACGTTATGGTTGCTCGGCACTCTATACATCAACCGTGTGAACAACGCGTTTAATAGTTTAAACGTCAAATACAATTCCTCACAGATTCCATATGATGCACTACATTACATCTAGCTGGGAGTCTGAATTTCAAATATTTCAGTTGATATTTTTCAAAATTGAAAATTTCACTTTTCATACAATATATTTCCAAAAATATTATGAAAAATGTATGCAAATCATTTCAGAATGAAGTATTTACCAGTACCATTTTAGTAACTACCAGATGAATGATAAATAATAACCAGGGTTTGGATTTTATAGCATTAATTGCTACTTATTATAGGATAGAGATAAAAATAGCAGAGTTGGCTATAAATTTGTTTTATGCGCCAGGGACTCTAAATATGAAATTTTATTTTGCTATTTTTTTGCATATTTGAAGAATTTTAGAATTTTAGTGCTATTTTTAAAGTTTTGATGCTATGTCTTGCTAATATTTTTAATTCAATGCTTTATTTTATATTATTCATAAATCTCGTTTATATTGAATGAAAAATAGTATACATTTATGCGAATCAATAAGGAAAATCCCCTAGTCGAATATATTTATAAATGTTTAGTATTTATACCTTCTTATCTGTTGTTGTTCCACATAATTGTAGATTCTATTATGTACCGTCGACTGTCGAACGTATTTCATCGTCAGTCGGTTCTCCGTATCCTTTGATTTCGTTTCATATTTGTTCATTACTCGATTGTGTATTATTTGTTTTTCTGTTACGATATTAAACGTAAAATGTCGAAAGATAAAACATCGAACTATTCGAGACTAAGATATTTTGTGTCCGAGTTTGGCGATGAGGTTTTTTCAGTTGACGCAAGTATTCTGTTTTGCAAATTGTGTGAATGTAAGGTTACTATTGACAAAAAGTTTAACGTTACTCTGTACTCATCACTTAAAAATGGATTAACATTTAAAAGCCATTAATCGAGAGCAAAATAAAATTGAAAAGAAACAGCAGTTACTTTATACTTACAAATATTCCGCAAAAATGTACTTTTAATATCGATCTGTGCAAGACTCTTATTTCTGCAAATATACCATTAAACAAGTTATCCAATGAAAAGTTTCGACAATTTTTTAAAAGTATACTAAAAATCATATTCCAGACGAATCATCACTGAGAAAATTATACGTTGATGATATTTACAATGAAATTATCGAAAAAATTAAAACTCAAGTAGCTAATAACCGCATCTGGGTGAGTATCGATGATACAACGGACGGATTTATTTTAATTCGTTGCTATTTTTGATGTTTTTAGGGCATATTTATAGTTCATATTTTAGGATATTTTATGCTTTAAAAATCCGAACCCTGATAATAACTATAATAATACTATAATAATATTTAATCAATGATAATACTACTATAATTTTATAAATATAATATCATAATTCAAAACAATTATCAATCGACATTACCAAATGCTGAATAATAAATATCAACATTTTTTATTGTAAATTAAAAATATGTTAAGACATGAGTTGTGAGTTGTGACTATGAGATTATTTAGTTATGTTTAAATGATTTTAAATATGTATGTATAGACTATAAGGCAA